TGTCTCATGGGCAAAGCAGCCCTCTGGGTTAGAGGAAGAGGAAGGAGAAGCCACTTTGTGGGATGAGTGTGTTTTGCCTGTGATCAAACCCTCGCTTGAGACTTGCCAGGGGTGTAACCCCTCTCTACCCTTCCCGCTCCCCACGGGGGTCCTTTGCCAGCCCTGGTCCCATGGAGGGGGGGCTGCGGCGGGGGGGTCCCTGGGGTGGGAGCAGCACCCCCCACCCCGGGCTGGCCTCACCCAGGGGGACCCCCCACCTCCCGGGCCCCTTTAAGCTCCCTCTGGCTCCATTTGTCAGCCAGATGCCGATCCAGATGTTGGAGCTTCGCTGTCTGCCCGCTGCCCCCGGCAGCGCGGGGCGGGCTGGGTGCCCCGGCCCCCCCAGGTTCCCCGGTCACCCCCCCCGGTCCCGCCGCTCCCCGGCGCCTCCGCATCGCCACCTCCCGGGCAGCCGCCGACACGGGGACAGCGAAGCCGCTTTGCTTCCCGAAGGGAAAAGCGCCGAGCAATTTGGGGGGGTGTGGTGTGTTTCTTTTTCATTTTTTTTAAATTTAAAATTTTTTAATTTAAATTTTAAATTTTCCCCTCCCCCCGCCCGCCCAGGGGTTCGTCCCTGCCCGCTCCTGCCGATCCCCCCCCCCTCAAAAACTGACAGTGAAACAGAAGCCGCTCGCCTTCGTGACGCGCCCTCGCCCGAAGATGCTGAACCTTCCCCAATGATGGGTGCACTGGGCCAGGCCCCCCCTCTTCCAAACCCAGTGCCCAGGGCTGTGCTGGGCTTCATATTGGGGGGCTTGCACAGCTTTTCTGCAGCCCCCCCGGGGTCCCACACTGCAGCGGCTCCGTCCTGGAACATGCTCATGGAATCCTGTGCAGCCCAGGCTCCAGCTGACTGTAAAGCCTACAGGAATTCTCCTATGGGAATAATCTTCCCAAAGACGTGGGGAGCGGCAGCAGAACGGCTGCCTTGTGTTGAGAGGGAGCTTGTGACGGACCGAAGGACTGCTGTGGTCCGTCTGTCCTGCAAAGCAGAGGTGTTACCACCCTCTTGCCAAACCTGGCTGTGCCACCCAGCCCTACCCAGCTTTTACCTTTCTTGGGCATTTTCATGTCACACACGGAGAACATACAGGAGCCATTAGACCCAGATTTCCATTCTTCCCTAAAGAATGGCAGCGTAACAGAGTTGTTTATTTAATGTAAAGTGCAATATTTTTTAAGAAGAGCTTCAGCTCTCCTAGTGCAATAATTTGTGTGACTCTTCATGCCCTTCTTCCTAGTGCGGGATAAACAGTGAATAGGAACTAGCAGTCAGGTTTTAAATCTCCGCGGAGGACTCCCGAGCCAGGCGGAAGGAAGGAGCGGGCAAGATGCAGAGCGCTCTGCGGCCGGGGGCTCTGGGTGTGTTGGCGAGGTCATGGTCTGTTAAGATCTCTGTTGGTTTTTAGATCGAGCTGACAAACCCCTGCGCAGCCCAGCTGGGATCCGCTGCCCTTCATTGCCCTTCCCGTGTCTGAGCCCTTCAGGATTGGGCAGTCGTGGGAAAAGGAGCAGATCAGGGAGGCCCTCAGCCTGAGATGTTTGACAGGTGTGGAGGCAAAAATATGGCTTTGGAGAGCGCTGGTGAGGTGGGGTGTGAGGATGCCACAGACCTCCGCACTGGGAGAGGGGGCTGTGTGACCACACAGGACCCTATCTTCCCTGCACCACCTCGTCCACCCCCTTCTTTAGGGTATGGAAGCTTGCAAGATCCTGGCAAGATCCATTCGGAGACAGCGCTAGGTTGTAACCAAAAACGGCTGAAACCTACCCCACCGAGTGCCCTTGGCCACTGCTGGATCTGAATGCTGTAAATTTAACTGAGCATCTGAGCACGGCCATCCTCTCCTGGTGCCGCCAGGCCTGCCTAGCTCACCCTCTCATGCAGCAGCTCTTGCTTCTCCTTCCTCCTGCCATGCTCCAGAACTTGTGCTCACTGTTCTTACTGGGAAAGATCTTCAAGTGTAATGATTTTATTAAATCTTATAAGTCTTTTTTTTTTTTTTTTTTTTTTTCCCCCCCCTCACCTCTCACCCTAAGGACAAAACTCTGCAAAGCGAGCGTGGTTTCTCTGGGTAATGTCATCCTTGCTTGTTCATCTGTCTGAAGCAATTACTGTGGCTTCCTTAGGGATTATTTTTCAGACAAAGTGTTGACATTTTTCCCCGGCTGGGCGTCAAGTGTGTACCTGCGGTGGTAATTTCTGCGCGGCAGAATCTTAACAAGACGAATGTCTTATGGTTAATGAGGTGCTGGAAGACAGCATGGCTAAATCTGGCTTTACACTTCCCAGCTTTCCAGATTAATTAGCAACCTGGATCTCCTGGTCATGCACTCATTCATTTTTTGATTTGAGTGACAACCCAGCGTTTCACAGGGAAAGCGACCGGAGTGTTTAAGGAAGGGGAGGGTGCCGCTGGCTATCCACATCGCTCTGTCCTCCCCAGCTCTGTGTTTGCTGTTAGAACATCGGCTGTCGCCTTTCCCAGGTGCTGGACCCGCTGCCAGGGATATCAGCAGTGGTTGGGTCCTTCTCTTGTCCTTTCCCCTCCTGCAGCTTGTTGGCCTAAATCCAGGGTTTTGGCAGATATTCAGTCCTTACTGCACGCTGCCAGGTACAGGTTTAAACGGCAAACTTCTCAACTCTTATCCACTGCAATTAAACAATCACAAGTTCGTTGCAGCACAGAAGGTAGAGCCGGGGGGGCTCAGCCTGGCCAGGGATGCATGTCCTGGCAGGTGGAGGACGTGGCACACGTGAGGATGATGATGGTACCCCCATGGGTATCGGCTGAAAGGCTGCAGGGAGCCGTGCGCCTGCTCCTCACCCACCGTTGGCCTGAGCTGCCTTCCCTGGGAACTCAGAGAGTGTGTTTTACCTCACCGTTCAGGTAATTAAAAGTGGAGCTGAATGAATCATTACTTGTTCACCTTTTATAGTGGGATCATGTATGCTGGGTATGAGTTATTTTACATGTGCTTAGATGTGTAAAGGAAGGCAACATTGCGAAACAATCACAGGTATTTGCCTGTTTAGGGATAACCAGCTAGCTTCCCTGTGATACGGTAATATTGAAAAATCCCTGAAGTTATCCTACTGCCACATTTAATTTTTCTTGGGGGGGAGAAGAAGGTGCCTGTGCAGAATAGATTTTTTGCAAGCATTATTTTCTGTCTTTTAATTCAAATCTTTTAGTTGGCATACACAGTAAAAGTGCGCCTTTTTCTCTACTGGGGATTATAAATGAAAACTGGAAATTTGTGTTTGTAGTCCTTCAAGCATTCAGCATGCCCATGGTAAACACCTGCAGAGCATTTATGGAAACTCCGCTGTGTAAAGGAGAAGGGAAGCAGCTGACACCCAGCAGCCCTCCGGGAGGAGCAGAAATCACCCTTTGCCGTGATTTCCAGCCAGTTCCCCCAGATGAGAAACAGCACTGACGGGCCGTGGGGCCGGGTAGGTGCAAGGAGGGTGCCAGGTGCTGGTGGGGCTGGTGCCTGTGGGTGGGTGATGGTCCCCGCAGTGCCAGTGGTTTGCTTGGGGGGGACGCTGAGCCACGACGCTACCGGTGCTGGGGGGGGGATGCAATTTGAGAGCCAACAAGTGCAAAAATTCAGGAGTCTGGTAGCGAGCAGAGCAATTTGAAAGCGCATTTATTAATGGCTAATTGCTGCTGCAGAAATAGGCGAGGCATAGTGCCTTTTACTCCTCCCTCCCGGGTAGAGCTGGCTTATTTGGGGTGTGCCAGGAGCGGGGAGCGCTTGTCCCGTGTCCCCATCCCCATGGCAGGAAGGGAAAAAGTGATCAGCAGAGCCCCGGTGGGATGAGCCCGTGGCCACGGCAGCCCTGGGGATGAACTCAGTCTGCTCTCCAGAGCAAAGGCCCCCGGGCTGTGCCAGAAACGGGGACTTTGGACTCACATGGGCTGGACAGAGCCGGGCCATGGGTGCTCCTCGGTCCCCCCCAGCTCTCCAGCCCTAACACAGGTTGCCCCCCCACCACCTAAGAGCTCAGCACCTCGGCTGGTGGGGGGCTGTCAGCTCATTTATTAACTGCAAATCAGGCTGTACAGAGCCGGCAGCCCCCGCGCTCGGCCCCGGGTTGGGTAAGCAGGAAAGCTCTTTGGGTTTGTGCTGCAGAAAGTTTCCTGCAGGGACATGGACCCCATCGTTCAGCTCGGAAGCACACTGCATAGCTCACCAATGTGTGAAAATTTTCACTTTGTAAAGCTGGGGAGAGCAGCAGAGCTGCTCCTGTCAGATGCATACTTCTGCTGTTTCCAAGGGTCTGCTATACAAAAATAAAGGTAAAATGAATTAGATTACCCAACTTTTCCAAACTGGAGTGCGTTTCACCACTGACACCGTTATTTCAACAATGTAATGTTTAACTACTTTAAGTTACCCTATGTACCTAAATGCCTTTTTTTTTTTTTTCCCCTTTACTGCTGAATAAGGAAAATCAGGCCCAACGGGCAGAATAGTGGGAAGGGAAACATTCAGAAAGGCTCATTGGCTCTGTGTCCCCCTGTCCCCAGCTCAGCTTGTGGCCCAGGGCAAAGAAGATAAAATTCACCTCATCCCTCAGCTGTGTGAACTGCACCAAGTCCTGATTTCCCTGGATGTTTGTTTTTGTTTTGTTTTGTTTTTTGTTTTTTCCCCCTCATTCACTAGAATTGCAAAATTTGGATTATTTTTGTAAGAACAGTAAGGAGTGCACAGGCTGCGGCTGTCCCTCCGCGCGGTGGGAGCGGGGTCTGCTGCGTCACCCACCTGTGGCACAGGGTCCCCTGCCTGCGGTGTCCCCGTGCGGGGGCTGCCACCAGCCCTTTGGGTCTCATCCCAAACCTCATCCCCCCTGGTGAAGAAGCACCATCCCCCATTTTCACCCTCTCCACCCCTGCCAAGAGATTGAGACTTTTTTTACTTGAGCACCTCTTAAGACCAAAGATAGCCTGCTGCAATATTTCCTATCAAACTTTATTGTTCTGCCACTGTACCAGCATCTTTTATTTACAGCTTGAGACCACCCAGAGGTCTGAGCCCGTGGGGAGTTTCAGCAGTGCTCCCCCACCGTGGGGACGGGCTGTGGCTCCAGCCTTGCTGAAGTGAAGGACTCTGGTGCTTTTCCTTCTTCAGCTGTCGAATCCATCCCATCGAGAGTGGCACCCCTGGCCGTGTCCCCACCTCAGCCGGGCCGTGACCAGTCACACAGAATTAAACCTATTCCCAATTTACTTTTTAATGCAGTATCACCAGGAAAAGGTTACTTAAAGGCTTTGGGCTGGTCTACACATGAGACTACTCGCTGTAAAATGCACTTGCCACTCAGGAGGAAGCGATGAGAGAAGCGCTGACTCAGCAAGGCTTTGTCCCAGTGGTGCCTGGGCTGGCCCGTCCCCCCGGGCAGCTCGTGCCCGGTCCCCACGGGTGTCTGCAAGTGCCCGGGGAGGATGTGCTGGGACAGAGCGTGGTGATCCCGTGATGCTCTTGCCTGGCAGGACCGGCTCTCAAGCCGCTCAGGAGATCTGCTTTGTGCCAGGGGAGGAGAAACGTGGCTTCAGGGAAGGTTTTGGGAGTCACCAAGGGGCCCCAGTGCCAATTTTAGAGCCCCGTTTAGCCAGCCATCGGGGGGGGGGAGGGGGAGGCTGTGGAATTCCCCCAGGAATGGGGTGCGATGCACTGTCACCATCATGCAGCCCATTCCAGCTGCACCATCACACCCTCAGCAGCAGACCTTGGTCACTCCCCCACTGCCCCATCCTCCCTGGGACAACGCCAAGGGGCTTCGGTGCCTGGAGTTACTTAGGAACAGATTGTAGATGAGACATATTTACTCAATAAATAAATACAAATAACATATGGCAGGTACTAGAATGAAATATAGCAATATTCATGTTGTAAGGGAGGCTGGGATGTCTAGGGCTTGGAGCTTGTGGCTGATGCTCGTTTAGCTTAACGTGCCGCAGATATTAGGGAGCATTTAACCAGGCTGCCATGCGCTAACGGGGCTGCTGGTGCAGGCTGAAATTGTTAGAAGGGCATATTGGAAGCTACATATTTGGGTGGATAAATATATGTTAATACAGAGTATCCAGGGAGGTTTTGCCTTAGAATGGCCGGGGACAGTGAAAGCGGGCATTTCTCTGATAACTGGGATGTCCTTGGGGTGCCCTTGGCCCCATTTCTGGGTGCTGGCCCTGGGCAGGTTTGTGTGTGGCCCCCAGCAGAGGTGGGGGGTGCTGGTGGGGCTTGAGGGATGTTGGGGCTTTTCCCCTCATCTCTGCAAAGCTTTGAGCAGAGCGGAGGAGATCTCCTTTGTCTACTTTTGGTAAAGCTTTTACTTAAAGCTCGGAGCTCTAACATTTGGCTCTGTCATACTAGCCAAAAAGAGAGCGTGAGGGAAAAGGAGGAAGCAGCAGTTGGGTTTTGGGGTTCAGGGTTGTCTCTGAGCTTCTGGGCTGGGGCTCAGTCAGATGAGACGGGCAGCGGGAGGAAGAGGATCGCCTTCTGGCCATAGTGAGTCCGCGGCCCCAGCTTGCTGCTCCCGTTCTTCTTCAGCCCTACAAACCAGTTCTTATCTGCATGCTTTTTGGAGACGTACGTGTTGTAATGGTTTTCTTCGATCCTTTCCAGGAACAGGCACTCCTCCCCCAGTAACTGCTGAAAGAGAGCCCCGGGTAGCGACAGTGAGAGGGGGCGATGCCGTCGGGAGGAGGGTGTGTGTCCCCTCCAGCACTCCCGGAACCGGGTGCCAGCCAGACCCATCTCAGATCTTCATGCCCCCAGACAGTTCATTTTTAAAGCCTGGAGGTCAGTAGCCTTGATTTAGACCCCCGGGCTACTCCTCCAGTAACTTGCCCGTGACCTGCGCGGTGACGGCTGCGAGTTCAAGGCACGAGCACGGAGAACAAAAAAGCTCTTTGGTGTGGCTAAGCAGCCTGCAACCAGGACTACATGCCATGTGCTTTGCTATAAATGAGACTGTTCTCAGAGACCCAGATTATTTTCGGTGTCTCCGTGCCCTCCAGTTCCTGGGTGCAGGGGAGATGGGGGGGGCGTTAACTCCCGCCTGGCCTGATCCCGCTCCCACTGTGATGTTGTGGATGCTGCGGCTGCCTCCCGCGCAGGGTTTGGTGCACCTGGGATGCAGAGGGAAAATGCGGGGAGGTCTTTGCTCAGCGGCTGTGGGCTGTGGCCTGGGGCCGCTTCCTCTGCAGCTCTGAGCTGCCTTGCAAAGCCAGAGAGAGGGGCAGGGGGCTGGCAGGGTGCTGGCAGGGTTGGAGGAGCCAGGGTCCCCCACAGCCCCTCTGGCAGCTGCCAAGGGGATGCAAAGCAGCTGCTGCTCCAGATATGAAATCCAGTATTTGTCAAGAGGCAGGGTGGGAAATGGTGTTATTTGATTATTTATTTATTCACCCCCCCCCAACTCTCCACCCAAAATAAAGCCGGATGAAGAGTGGCCGTCCAGCTGCCAAAATAACAAACAGAGGCTAATTGTTGCTTGCGGTTTGCATTACTCAGAGCTACGAGATTTCTGCAAACCTCAAACCCTCTCTGTGTCTGGTCCACATAAACCTCCTACTTACCGAGCCGTAGAGCAGCCCGTTGGTGTCCATCGCCAGGTACTGCCCAGACTGGGTGCTCTTTATATACACCTCTCCCACGCTTTCCGCGCTGAGCTGGAGTTGAACTGAAGGTAAAAATAAAACAACAACAACAACAAAAGTAAAAGGAAAATAGGAAATGGGGGGGGGCGGGGAAGAGTTGTCAGAGATAATGTCCAAGCTGCTAGGAAAGTCAGCAGGGTATTTTTGCTCTGAAGCCCAGCTTATAAAGAGTTTATAGGAAGCAGTATAGCGTGTAATAAAAGTGTCTCCTTGTATCTCTCCTTCAAAGAAACCCCACAGCCATGCTTTAGGAACCAAAAACCAATTTTTTCCTTATTTTACATCAAAGGAAGGGCAGCCTTTTGGTTAAGACGCTGGAATGGGACACAGGAGATTGGGGTTTTAATTCTGGCTCTAATTTACAAATTTCTCATGTGGTTTTGACAAGACACTTAAGGAGTGACATATGAAGAAGTATTTCAAGAGCTAAACCAGGGACGGACAGATTTCAGATGCAGGCAGCATTACAAAACCCTGATCCAAAGCATCCCATCCAGCAGCGTGCCACGGCTGGCGTCATCCTGCGCGTCGTAGATGGGTAATGGAGAAACAGAAAGGGCTGATCTTCATCCTAAAAAAGTTCCTCTCATAGGTAGCTACGAGCCAGGTCTTAGATTGTCCTCGTTGGCAGCGCTAACGTGAATTTGATATTAACCCCGGGTCTGAACCCGGCGGCGATGGGTTCATGGTGATGCTGCATCAGTTCATGCAGCCCACTGGGAACTGGCTCGCCGTCCCCGTCTCCGATGCTGGGCTGCAGCTGGAAACTCTGGGGCAAAAAATGCTCCTTATTGCTCTTTTCTGGGGGGAAGGTGAGCGGGTCAGCTGCAGGCCATGGGGTCTGGGCCACCTCCCTCCTCAGCATCCTCTACCTAATGTAGCAGATTGAACCTTTCTATTTGGTTACTTATTTTCCCCCCTTGTGGGTTCCTTTTTTTCTTACTTTGCTAATTACAGGAGTCTCGGAAAATGATTAAAACTTGGCTCAAGTTCTTGTTTAACCTATTTATCAGGAAGAGGCCGTTTGGTTGGAAGGAGCTTTGGGAGGAGAGCGCTCTAGCACTGCATGCACAGGGAGGACCCCACGCTGCTCTCATGGGTGGGCAGGAAAACTCGAGTCTGAGCAATTAGCAGCCCCACCGGCATGTGCGGAGGGCTGCGGTTATAGTCAGTGTGACTTGCAAAATCCAGCCCTTCTGAATGATCGTTCCCATCTCTCAGTCAGCTTTTTACCTGAGCTTTTACTGTAGTTTTGTAACAGAAATATTTAGGTTGGTTTGAATGAAATATGAATGGATGCCTCTGCTCCAGCTCTTTCCTTCCTTTTTAAGTTTATTTTTTTTTTTTTATCCTTATTTGGACAAGGTAAAAGGTAATGTTACCTCCTGGCATGGCAGAAGCCCCTGTCCTAGTAAAATCCTTGCTGTAATGGTTCACACTCTTAATTTTTGCCATCTCCTGCTAAAACTAAAGATTAATTAGTAAATTGTGTGGGTGCAGATTTGCAGTGATATGCAGTCCCGGTGCATGCCTGGTTCAGTCTGGGAGCTGGCAAACCGGCAGTGGGAGAGCCCCCAGCCCCACTGTGTTCGCTGCGGTGCTGCAGGCCCAGGCTGTGGTTGAGGAGAAGCCCAACCAGGGAAAGAGGGGAATGAGATAAAAATGATGATACTGTCCTAAAAATTGCCTCCAAGAGAGGGGAGCGGGGGGACCCGCCAGATGCCAATGGGGACGTCGAGGTCTCTGGCCACAGAGGGATGGAGAACGGTAGGTGAGGAGGAAGGAGCTCATGCACAGATTCTTGTGTTTTTTACAGGTCTGTACAGGTATTTCCTTCCTTGAAGCAATGGATGAAACAGAGAAAATAAGGCTGTTTGTGGAAACGAGCATGGACTTCATCCTCAAGGGTCTGCAATGTCCTGGTAACTCCCTTTTGTTTCATGATGAGAGCTCAAGATGCCCACGCACGGCAGCAAAGGGCACGGTGAGGGAATCCTTACGTGGGGCTGGAAGACAGGGGCTCGGCGTGAGCGACTTCTTTTTCCCTTAGAGATCCTCCCTGATCCTGGGGCTAGCACCTGGCGAAGCGATTTAAGATAAAAAGTACGAATTCCTGATATTTATCTAGAACCAAATGCGCGTGGGCAGTTTGGAAAGCACCGGCTCTAACGCAGCCCTGCGTGCTGGCTTCCCGGATGAGCCGCGGGCGTTCCCATGCCTCGTCGCTCCCCGCTGTCACCCCCAGGTTTCCCATAGGGATCTGGTTTGCTCCGTGCTGGCCGGCACTTGTCCCAGCATCCCATGGCGCAGGTCACGATCCGGGCTGCTCCCCCGGTGCTGAGCCACTCCGGCATTTGCCGGGCGTAGGGGCAGGACCATGAGCAGCCGTCGGTGCTCAGAGGCAGGGCTGCTCTGCTGGCACGCAGCCCTTCCAGGAGTTTTCTCTGTAAATATTTGTACATTTGGATATCCAAGTTTACGAGATCATTTACAGGAGGTTCCTTTCTGGCAGAGGTTTCCAAACATGTGGCCCCAGGCCAGCAGCTGGCGAGGTGCGAGCGCGCCGGGGCGCGGTGGGCGCAGGGGTTGCTGCCCGCGCTCGCTGCCTGCGTGCGTGGTGCAACCGTGGGGACTGGAGGGGAAATTCTCACTCTGAGGTGATGGGATTGCTTTGCCAAAAGGAAGAAGGTTGGGCCGTGCGGTAGCGTCAGTGCCGGGGGAACAGCAGGTTCAGGGCTGGGGCGCAGGGGCTGGGTGCTCCTGTCCCCAGTAGCACCCCGTGTCCCAGGAGATGCCGCCTTGCCGCGGGCTCTGCAAACCTATGCGGAGCTCCCCAGGGCACTCAGGCATCTCTGCGTCCCCCATCTGACTCCAGCAAGATCTCAGTTGTGGCAAAATGCTGCAGAGACGCTGGTTGAGTTCATACAACCTCTCCAGCTGCTGGCCTGTGGGTCCGGTGAGCCCGGTCCTGTCTTCTGCAGATCCTTTGGGTCAGCGCCCTTGTCGGCCTCTTGCAGGGGTTTGGGAAGGGTTCGTGCCTGGTTTATTCGGGGCTGGAGGCTGCCTGCCCCGCGCTGTGTTTATCCAGCCTTGCTGAGCTCATTCTCGCTCGTCCCTGAGCGCTCCCTCGTGCTGTGCGAGTGGTGAGGAAACAGTGTTTATAATTAAAATGCTGCTATAAACTGCCTTTCATTAAAACAACAATAACAAGAAGGTTAAGTTTGGGGGAGAAAGCCACATGTACGCTTGTGGTTTAAAGAAAATAAAAGTGCTTTTCTTAGCACTTTGTAAGGCAGACTTGGCTTCTCCCAGCCTTTCTTTCTCACCAGATAGGAGCCTGGCAGGTCCCAGTTATATTCCAGTAAATGTCCAGGATATGGTGTACCCAGAGGTTTCTGCTGAGAACCGAGAGCTCCGGCGTGCGGCGGTGAGGAAGAGCCCTGCAGAGCCCCACAGGGAGCTTGGCTGAGCTGCCAGTCCAGCTCTCCTTGGGCATTGGTTTTAAAAAAATCCTTTCCAGCATTTTAGAAGTGCAAGAGCCCTAAAAGCTTAAAACTTCCCAAGCAATTCCTTGGGTTTTGTGCCTTTGTCCTTACACAGCTGTTTTCTCTTTTGCCTGTGGTTTGCTGGGGGGGTTGCTCTGGGCAGCCCCCCGGTCGCTGCTGAGGGCGAGGGGCTCCTCGGTGTCGGGCCAGGTACTCAGCGCTCATCTAACGGCTTTGTGGGGCTTGGCCAAAGCCAGAGAGCCTCAGCACCACGGCCTGGCTCAGGTCGTGTGAACTGCTGGCAGGGCAAGAGCTCTTGATGTCTTTGGTGACATGGACAGCTACTGAATCAGACAAGCATGCACCTTTCCTTGCCATAGAGGATAATATTATTAATTTTTTATATTAAGGTTTGCCCTACGTCACCTGGTCTGCAGCACCTTATAGTAGCATTTACAAAAATGGCACTTTTGGTGAGCGAGTCCTGCCAGCCTCCCTGGGTAAACTTTGATGCCAATGATGGAGAATGAATGTGCTCCTAGAAAGGCAGTGGGCTGTGTGAATGGTAGGACAAATATTGGCATCTACGTGGCTAGTTCATCCCAGCAGCAGGTCCCCAACATCCTATAAGCTGGAGCCACCAGCATCACCGACTGCAGGGCACAGGGACGGGCAAGAGGAGGTTCTGGCTGCGGATGGCCTGTTCAGTTTTTGTGACACACAGATGCATGTACAATGCATTGTAACTGTTTCAGCATAGGATAAGCCATATTTGTTTTCAGAGAAAAAGTGAATGGTGACACGAATGCATTTCTAGAGCCGTAAGTCACAAAACAACTCTGTCACCTGATTCTTGCCTCTGTTGGGCTTTTGCATCCTGCAGGGATTTAATTTGCTGCATAAGGGGAGAGGGAGGTTCCCCAAAGGCGAGGGGACACTGTGTGGAGAATGTGCAGATAAAATCCATTCTGCACATGGGGGAATGTGGGCCTGACCTCCCACCCTGGCTGACGACTTCACATCTGAAGATGCACTGCTGGGAAACATCGCATCTGCACAGCCCCGCTGTTGTGCTGAATCTCCTAACCCAGAGCAAATGCAAAGATAATGTAGAATTATGTGTGATGTCTGCGTGTGTGTAGGCTGTGAGGCTGCTCCTAAGCCTTTTTTTCCCAGCTGCCAGCTTGCTGCGTAAGCCAGCCATGCTGCAATTAGCGCTTTGGTCCTGTATGGTCTGCCTGCCTGCGGTTATTTTGATAACCGGTTTCAGATATAATGCTAGTGGAGATGTGAACTAGCACACATAGCGTGCCTCTCCAGGCTCTGCGTGCCGGCTGCAGGTGTGTTTGGGGGGGTGTCCTGACCTCCTGGGAGGTGCGTTGCCACCAGGAGAAGTGAGAGACTGGTGCAGAGCCTGTCTTCTCCAGCTCCCCCCTTCCTGGCTGATAAAATTATAGGAGCAAGGAGGAGCACCAAGAAGCCCCGTTGGGTTTGCTTACTGTGCTGGTCGCTGCGGTCCCTGGTCCCGTCCACTTTGCCATCCGGAAGGATCCGTAGGAAGTGGCCCCCGTTGCTGCAGTACAGGAGTTTGGGTTTCTTGTAGTTCCCCAGAGGCAGGTTGAATTTTTCGGTCAGGGCGGTGAAGGTGGTGATTTCCCCCTCGGCCATCGCTCAGCCTCTCCCGGCGGCCGGGCTGTAAGAGATGCGGTGGCGTAGGGCAGGGACAGTGGCACCGAGTGCTGGCACACGCTGCTGCTGCCCGGTTTTTAAAGGGAGGGGAGGGAGCCTGGGGGTCCCCAGCCGGGACCCGGGCTGGCTGCAAGGCCGGTGATTCACGGCGCGGATGATGGCTCCGGCAGTGACACAGCCCGAAAGGTGATGCTCCTTGGTGTGGGAGGTGTTGGGGGGGGGGGTCGTCATCCCGCTGGGTGGTAGGGACTCTGTCCTTTTAATTTTATCATAGTAAATTCTGTTTTCTTTCTGCTTTCTATTGACGTACGTACTAAAATTATACGCTCAAAAAAAAGCTTGAAAAACACCCAGTGTCTGATTGAAACCCACAGGAGGCAGGAAGGGAGCCCAGGTTAATAACTCTCTCCACTATTATAACTTTCAAACATGATTATGACTAGGTATTGCAACACGTACTGCATGCCAGATAGCAAATATTACTTCATATCTTGGCACGCTGCATCTCACCTGGCCAAAGCACGCACATGCTAAAAATCAGAACAAACGTTAGATATTGTGGGAGATGAGCAGGGGGGAAGGAGGCTGTCACTGCCCAGGTGGTAAGCAGGAGATTTACCCCTACACTGATCAGTGGCGTATGGAAAAAAGGAACTCTGAGTCTAGGTTATACCAAGCTTGTGCAACCTTGCATCTCAATAAAAGTGGTTAAAAGGGAAAGGGAAAGCTCTGGCTGGTGCAGAAGGGTGCAGTGGGCACAGGGCACTACCAGCTGCTCAGGAGCAACGAGCTCCATCTCCTGCGAGTGCCCCTTCCTCTCAGGGGGGGCTGGGGAAATGCATGGAGGTCGCACCGAAACCTCAGTTTGCAAGACACTGGGTGATCACGATCCATGTTTAAGCAGACAGTGTGCCAAAACCCAAAGGGATCGTCAGACCAGTGAGAGAAAGACGCTGTGAATGTCGGCAGCCATGGCCGCGTGTGGGTGGGTGGGGACCAGAGTCCCATGTGTATTCCAGGCATATTCAAATCTATCTGAATGTTTCTAGCCTAGAAATTACATTTAAAATCTCTCAAGAATATGCTGTCTTTCATATATGAAGTTCTGTAGTGCTTCTAGAGAAGTGGGTTTATGAACAGAAGAAGAAAGGGCACAGCATAAACCTAGATACAGGAAATTGCTTTAAATGTCATGTATTCCCATAGCTATATTATGGACAACAATATATAGTCACAGTTTATGTATTTATAGATTGTAAAAATGTCTCTTTGGCACTGAGTTGTGCTACTGGTACATTAGGATGGAGCCAGCATCATACTATGTGGGTTTGCTGTGGTACTTAGAGTGACCTGGGAGATACTGAGGACTGCAGCTCTTTGCAACACACACATACACACACACGTAGATATACATATAATCTCTAAACATTTGGCTGTAAACTCTTGAGTATTTAAATTTGCAAAAGCAGCTGCAAGGCAGAGAAACTACTCCTTCAAGTGGATCCCAAAAGCCTGCAGAGGATAAAAATGTCTGCAAGTTGGATTGCTGAAAGCTGAAACCTTGGAAACAAAGACTTCATCGTTATTGCGGAAAACACACCCTGCCATTGCAACCAGCTTTGGTTAGTACGTAGACTTCATCCCTTGCTCTCAGATGTGTCCCCTTGGGGTCTTTGTCAGAACAGAGAGATTTCTTAGTAGAGGAAAAGACAACCATAAAAAAAAAAAAAAATTCCCTGCCATCCCAGGCCTTTTGGTAGCTGTTGGTTTGCAACAGCTTCTCTTTCCTCCTATCAGCCTGGGTTTTGCTGCAGATGGAGATATTAAATCACCAATACAACAGCTGAATGCAGAGTCAAAGTGCAGGGACAAATGATTTTAAACTTCTCCCCACCGCCCTTTCTCCAGAACCATTTTGATCTTGTTTGGGAAGTCCCATTTGCTGGACCAACACCTACCAAGTGTTACTTTATCAGCCCAGCACTTCTTCAGCTATATTCTGTTCTGCACTGGAGGCTGTGTTGGTTCTCATGTAGGTTTAAAAATCGTCCCTGGGACAGTTTGTCCCCAGGTCAGTTCATCCCCATATCGTGCACCTCCCCAAAGCTCGCTTTTGCTCTGGACCTATTTGCAAAGCCCAGAGTATCAACTTTTTCCCAGGGAGTCCAGCCAAGTTTTACAACTGCCTCTGCTGATGCCCTTGCTCCTGAATCGCCCAAAAGCCGTGTCCATCTCAGCGCTGGTGCGTTCAAACTTCCTGTGTTTGGAAGTTGTGAAGTTTCACAGATCCCCCATTCGACAGAGACCAGGTTTTGGGGAAGGGCTTTCTGCAGATGCTAACATGGGTTAGCCCTGGAATCCAGCCCTGAGGTTGGTGAAGCAACACAAGAGAGTTCAGGAGCTTTATGGTTCCTGGTGGCTTTCCAAAGCAGGTGATGGACTAGCTAAGTATAGCTTAAAAATCCCTTTTTAACACAGTTGTGAGGCAGCTGAAATTAGGTATTTCTCAGAGTTTCTGGTCCCAAAATTTATTTTTCTGTCAAGAGATCATACTTTCCTTGATCAAGAGATCAAATTTTTCTTGTACATCCTTTTTAACAACGACTGTCTGCCAAGCTTTCTCTGAATAAAAGCCTTCAAGTCGTTCAACGTGGTACGCAAGGCTTTAGTGCTTTACTGAGCATTAATTGAGATCAGTGCTATTGTGTAATTTACTGGAACTAAAGCTTTTCTTGAACCTTTAGCTGAGGGTAAAAGGCACTCAGAATTCTCCTGGGTTGATGACGGATAGGAGTGAGAAACATCCTGAAGCCAAGAGCTCGGATCAGGATCTCAGCAAACTTAGGCTGCAGCCTGCACAAGTGAGGCGCAGGCTGGGATGTTCCCCTTGGTCACCTCAAGGTCTGCACGTTCAAGGGCACCTACAGATGGCTTCAACAGAGCAGCTTGACTGGAAATGGCTTCTTCATTTTCACAGGTTTCCTTTAAGGTTTTTTGCTATTTTTAGAATGCAGTCAGCTCTTGCCAGCTGCCTTTGACTCCACAAGAGAAGCTGAATGAACACTATTTTCCACTCCCATTGTCTCTCCTTGCTAAATACTATTGCTGTTCTCATACTTTTATGACTGTGGAGCCGGTACTCTATGCACACCACCGCTCATGGCCCTACTATTATACTTTTGGCAGGAACATGTTAGGTTTTTATGGGAATTAAAAAGCATGAGTGAGAGAGAGAACCTGAACCAAAGACAACATAAAAGGCCTTATTTCTTTGGGTTGAAGCCCGACAAAATTATTAAATAGCTTAAAGCAGAACAGAAAGCTCTCTCCAAGATGCTAAGCCGAGAGACACCACACTCCAGTGGTTCCTTGGTGCCCCATGGAGAAAAGAAAATATTCCAAGATGAGACTGCTGTAAGAGGGGGATGGCTGCTGCCATGCAGATGGCACCGTTGGACACATTAGGACAGTACATGGGAGCCCAGGTTGGAGAGTCCAGGGCTGGCTGTGCTCATGGCTTTCCTCTTTCCTCCCACCCCTGTGTTACACGCTCATCCGCTTCACTCCCGTAGCTTTCCTGTGTGCTGCCTGACAGAAAACCACCACTGAGACTGGATGGCATCGTCCCCGGGAGCAGGTCCTGGGGCATCTGTGCTGGGGTGGCCCCAGCTCCGTCAGCAGCCCCGCGGCACTCGGCTCTTCCTCTGGGCTGAAGACAAAAAGTACTTAAGAAGAGAGTAAAAGTAAAACCCAAATGTTAATTTTAAACAGGTCCTACTGAACTTTGGTGGCTGGAGCACTGCAGCGTGCGTGCTCCTTACAGCCGCGAGGAGATGAGCCCGGCGCGGGACCGGAATAGTTGTGAAATTCTGAGAAGTTTGGGTTTGGTTCCAAACTTTATCACCGACCGCTGCTGCTGCAGTGGCCAAACCAGTGGCTTTGATGTGAAATCCCAAACCCTGCAAGTATCTGAGTCTGAACATCGAGGACCGGTTACGTTGCCAATAACGGATGAACTCTCCATGAGCTCTGAAATAACAGTGCACGCTGGGGGCTGTGGAAAAAGGAGTGACATCCTTTTCCTTTCCTGTTTTAAAATCAATGCAGATTTCACTCGGTAGTGCTGTTCTCCCCTTTGCTGGCATTATAAAGTTGGTGTTGATGAGAGTTTGGCAGATTGGGGGATTGCTAATGGCCCAAAAGTTCTTTGCATGTCTGGATTACCAGGTCACGCTCAGACCAGGCTGTCTGTGGCTTCAGGGGTACTTTCATGGCTCTCTTGTGGCTCCTGTGACACAAATATAGTGGCCAGCTAAGACTGACATCCCATCACTACTGTGAGCACCCCGGGTTTTCGGTAGCAGGCTCAGCAGAGGAGCCATGCTGGGTCCCGTGGGGCTCCTGGCAGAGCTGGACATGCTCCAGGCACATCCCTCTGCCCAGGGGACTGTCCCTGCTGTGGTCCCTGCTCCCCAGGGGAACTAACCCCATAGCTTTTCTGGCCACCCCTCTGCACACACTCAGGAGTTGGAGACAGCAAGGATGGGAAGTTGCTGCTTCTCAGCTGGGAGATGAGCATCTTCCACTGCCATCCACAAACCTCCATCCACCAGCCTGACTGGTGAGTAGCTTAACGAGCCGCCTTGTCAGAGACTGCAAAAGTTACCCGGCCCGAGAGCGGAGAGGAACTGTGGGGAGACAGAGTCCCTTATCCTGTTGCTAAAATTCCTCGGCTTGTTTTTCTTTCCTGTCCATCTCTCCAACAACTTCCTTTCAGCTCCTTTTTCTTTAGGCTCCTCCTGATGTGCTTGAATAAGATCCATTTTCCTGCGACCAGTTGCAGCAATTTTGCAGGTTTGTGAAGGCACGTGGCAGCAGAAGCTGGTGGAGCCCAGCGCGGTGTCTGCAGCTGAGCGCGCTGGATCGCCAGCACAGCCTCGTCACCACCCAAATGGTGCCTCTGTCCCATGGGTTGTACCTGAAGCTGTGAGGTGACCAGCTAAG